AATTAAGCTGCGCAATGGGTCTAACAGAGCACAAAACTGGTACCACATTCATTTTATTTCTAAGCAAGAGGTAAGACTACACTTTGCTATACACATAACAGACTCAAAGCTCACACAATGTTTATGCTTAATGAAGGAGGCAGGGCTGCAGGGGCACTTGGACTGAGACTCTGGGGAGGAATGTATCAGGTTTGGGATCTCTTCCGAAATAAGGTGCTTGAAAGACCTGAGCTGTGCATTACTGTCAAATTTAGGATACACGAGGGACTGTGTGTGTAGTGTTGGGCAAAACTCTGGTTTTAGTGAGACCTTGGAGAGGTAGCAGGAGTAAACAGCTGGGCTGAAGGAAGGCTCAAAGTCACACTGTGAGGAGGTGAAAATGAAGGTAGGTACTGAGAGTGGTTTGCAGAGTACATGGAGCAGCTGTGTCTTTTATGATAAGCTCAAACACTGCAGAGTGAGTGCAGTACAAATGAGACACTGTGAGATGATTAACTGTGTTTGCACACAGGGCCCTGCCTGCACTCATACCCAGAGGGAGGGCGTTTTCCTAACCTAACTAGGCTGCTGCTGTCTCCCTGTTCTTCCCAACTGGAGATGGAGACAGCCGACAGCCTCTCCTGCTCTACCTTCAGCTGCTGCCAGCATCACACTCCCACATGCAGAGTACAGAGGGCAAGGGCAGCCTGCTGCCCTGATCCTGCTGGTGGCTGGGGCCAGAGGGGGCAGAAAAGGAGATGGGGCTGGGAGGAAGGCTTGCAGAAGGGTCCACAAGTGGGCATTTCAGCTGTTCAAGCTGCCCAGAGTGTCAGCAGCTGGAGAGGCTACATCATTTTCCCTTGATGCTGCACTATCCCTAAATCTTGCTGTACACATGAACCTGTGTGGCCACAAACCTATTCCAAAGCTCCATCACCCGTGTGGTAAAGAAGTTCTTCCTTCATGTTCCTTCCTGTGTTTTAGTTCATGCCCGTTGTCTCTTGTGCTATCACTTGGCATCACCGAGAAGAATCTGGCCTCATCCTTTTTACACCCTCTCATCAAATACTTACACACATCGACCAGGTCCCACTCTCTTCTCAAGGCTGAAGAGGCCCAGCTCCCTTTTATTTCTTTATTGACAAGCACAGAGTCAAGGTCTGCAGAAAAGGGAGGATGATTTGAGTGCCAACAGACCCTCCTGCCAATAACCAAGAACTGATGAAAACTCTGAGTAGGAAGGTAATTCACAAACGCACAAGGAGAAGAATGCCATCTAACTGGATCTTCAAAGCAGAATTATATTGCTATATCCCCTACAGCTATCTAAAGGCAATGAAGAGACTATAGGGCTCATGTATTGATGCTCTCAATCTTATCTCCATTTTATGTTCTTTAGCTGTAGAGATTAATTCCTTGATTAAAGATCATGGCTGAGATTCAGAAAGCTGAACCTTAGGGAACTATGATTATAGCTGAATGCTCTGGGGCTTGCAGATTCGGGACATCAATGGATCTTGCATGGGAGCCATACTTTACATTATCTTTCTCTGAAGGCATAGTATTCTGGATATAATTATGCTGATGCTACAGCTAGAGCCAGGACTGGGAGTTCAAAGCCTCAAGGCCCTGGATTATTGCAGGATGTTGTAAGGACTACAGGTAGGAAGAAAGCTTGTGCCAGCTGGAGCCAGTGCTTTATAAGCTACAACAGAAATGCGAAGCTGGTTGTAAGTGGAGAAGCTACTTATAACCAGTTCAGTTCACTTATAACCAGTCAGGGTTCAGTTTGCAGTAGACTCGGGGATAGCAGGATCCAAGCCCATCAAAGTTCTGCAAAGCCTGACGAGGTGAGGGTCAGAGTATTCTCTCTTTCTTGAAAGCATGAGCCATCTGTTATTAATCCAAAGGTTAGGAGGAGTAGGGTTGGCTCCAGGATTTTAAACTGTAGATAATGAAGAACATAAACTGCTGCAGGTAATATTTGGTGATACCTGATTTTCTGTTCTACTGTATGGCAGGCATGGGTATGACCAATGTGCATGAAGATCTGTATTATTTACCACATGCTGCTGCCCAAGAACATTAAGAGATTGGGGCTCCATAGGTATGCATAACAAGGTAACAGGTTAGGTACCTAAATACTGAGGAACCTGTGTTATTACTACTGCATGCTGCCCAGTTCTCAGTATTAGGAGGGCCAGTGTCAGTACAGGACAGTTAAGGTTTTCTGTTGTTCCAGACATTAGCTTCACAGGGTAGGGATCAGGGACAGACTTTGGAAATCTAAAGCCTAAAGAACCGAGTTGTTACTGAAGTTGCAAAAACTGCAGTGTGCTGGCCTCAGTAATGATCAACTCTCTCTCCCTGTTCAGTGTGTGGGTTCTCTGCTCAGGAGTATGGATATTGGATGAATTGGGGTTTTTTGCAGGGCCTAGGAAGAGCTAGGAAGGAAGGGTACTGGTGTCAACAGCCACAAATACTTGTATTCTGTTCTGCTGTAGGAACAGGACCTTACTTTTATCTTCAGATACCATGATAGAGGACCAGTTTTATTAATGAGTATAGTAGCTGACTTCCATGCATTGAAAAGAGTGGGTTGTTTTACCTTTTTATATCAACATTGTAAATTTATGCCTAGTGAAGGAACGCACTGAGTGCTGTTGCAGCAAGAAAAGGGCAGGACATACATTTTCACTGTCAGAGCTGTTTTCATATAAACACTAACCTTAGTGACAGTCTTGCGGAACAGCATGTTGTGACTGATTCCCAGCAGTGACTTTGAAATGCAGAGCAGGTTTTGTTGTTCTGCACCACCACATACACACACAAGCAGCACCCTCCCACACGCACGTCTCTTACAAAGCTTTCCAACCTGCCTGTCTCTTTTCAGCAGACCCTGCTTTCAGCAGTGTCGAAAAGGACAAACCTCTTTCACTGAGAGACTCTTTGAAACAGGCTTGACTGGGAAAAAAATGCACCAATTTGATATAAGTCTGGCTTTATGTGAGCTAAGAGGTCAGGTCTATGGTAATCAAAATAATGTAAGTAATACAGCAGTGAATGTTCTGTGTAAGCTTGTAACCAGAATGGAAGCTATAAATGTCAAACAATAACATTGTGAAATAGGCATTTCAAAATAATTATTACCTTTATTTCTCTGTAAATTCCCTTTTTCCTAGGCAGTCCCCTGGGACACAAGATGAGGAGAGATGCTGGTGCTCTCTTTCTCTAAAGGTACAAATAAGTAGCAAAGGAGCAGGTCATATTCAGTAGGGGAAACTTGACCTTATGATCTGTTACTGTCCTTAGCCCAAGAAAGCCCAATGCCCTGGTGCTACCCATCTTTGAAAATGTTAGTTGCATACGTGTTAGGAGGGAATGTAAAGGCTGCCTTTTCTCACTGGAAGTTACTGTTTTATTCCATAGGAAAGATATTTTTTTTTTGCTGCTGATATTAGTATAATAGACAGTTTAGAGCACTTTCAAGTGGTGTGTGCATCCATATCTGAAAGCCGTTGGTTTGAAGAGAGCAATCTAGAGAGTAATGTAAGTGCACACCTCAGGCTCCTCTCCCTCAGTAGCCTGCAGTCACCAATTTCCATACATATTTATGGGCTATTCAGAGAAGCTGCAAGTAGCAGAAGGTGATCTGCAGACGATGAAGGTGAAATACCACTGCTCGCACAAACTCCTCCACATGATCACAGACATCCCTGAGTAAGTGTGTAGGTCATGGGAGGGGTGTTAGGCATCAAGTGTGTGTTACAGGGCAGAGCTCTCCAAAGAACAAATCACCATTTTTAACACGTGGTGTGGTACAAGCAAATCTTCCTTCTCCTTTCTGGATGAACAAAACAAGGTAGAAACATTTGTATGGCCGTATCATAGAACCATAGAACCATAGAATGGGGTGGGTTGGAAAGGACCTTAAAGATCTAGTTCAACACCTCTGCCAATGCCCACTAGACCAGGTTGCTCAAAGCCGTGTCCAGCCTGGTCTTGAACACTGCCAGGGATGGGGCAGCCACAGCTTCTCTGGGCACCCTGTACCAGTGCCTCACTGCCCACACAGTGAAGAATTTCTTCCTACTACCTCATCTAAATCTCCTCTCCTTCAGTTTAAAGCTGTTCCCCCTTGTCCTATCACTACATGCCCTTGGAAAAAGCCCACTCCAGATTTCTTATAGGCCCCTTCTAGGTACTGGCAGACTGTTAAAAGGTCTCCCTGAAGCCTTCTCTTCTCCAGGCTGAACATGCCCAACTCTCTCAGCCCGTCTTCATAGTAGAGGTGCTCCAGCCCTTTGATCATCATGGCCCTTCTCTGGACTTGTTCCAACAGTTCCGTGTCCTTTTTGTGTTGAGGACACCAGAACTGCACACAATACTCCAGGTGAAGTCTCATGAGAGCAGAGTAGAGGGGCAGGATCACCTCCTTCTACCTGCTGGTCACGCTCCCTTTGATGCAGCCCAGGATATGGTTGGCGTTCTGGGCTGCAAGCTCACACTGCCAGCTCATGTTCAGCTTCCATTCAACACACCACCAAGTCCTTCTCCGCAGGGCTGCTCTCAATCTATCACCACGCAGAAATTCAAATCCCAATTTTAAGCCAGTTCAAGTAAAGATACGAGACGGCACTGCCTCTCTTAGTGGGCCAGCTACATTCTCCTTGGGTTTTTCACAGAGGCAATTGAAGACAATTCTGTTTTCTCTAATGCTGCAAAACCTTCACCTGCGCTCACCCGCTGTGTGCATGCACAGAACGTGTTAACGTGTTACCGTGTTAACGTGTTACCGTGTTAACGTGTTACCGTGTCCGCCACGCAGGCTGACCCCATCGCCTCCGCTGCTCAGCCCGGGCTTTCACTACGCCCTCACCCGCACGAAGTCCCCCCCAACCCCATCCCTGTCCCTTCACGGCAGGGTGTCCCTTTAGGGGGTCACGGACCCTCCTGCGGCCCGGCCCCGCCCCGCCGGAGCCGCGCAGGTGAGAGGGAGCCGCCCGGGCACCGGGGCCGGCCACGCTGCCGCTCCGCCCATAGGGGCGAGCCGGGGGCCGGCCGACACCTGCCGCGGCCGCAGAGCCGCCGCTCCTGCTGGCCTCTTGCGTCCTTCCCGGCCGCGGCAATGGAGCCGTAGGGGCGGCCGCTCTTCCCCGGGGGGTAAGGAGAGAGCTCCCGCAGGCGGCGGGCAGGTCAGTGTTGCCTCCTGTACCTGTTGCGCCGGGAACCGGCGGGAGGGGAGGAGGGAGGAGGGAGGGAGCGAGAGAGGCCCCATCGCAGGAGGTACACGGGCTCCATCGCAGGAGGTACACGGGCTCCCGACGGGAGGCAGCAGCCCCAAGGTACCGGACTTCGGGGTCCACTCCTGGGGCTCGCGGGCAGTGAGCGCAGGGAGCGTGTCCCGCGGCTCGGCTCCGGGGCTTGATTTAACTGTCCATCGCGCACGGGGAAGCGGGCAGCGCTTCAGAGCCCGTCACCGGGGCTCGGCCAGGGGCACAGACCGACATTCCCCCCCCCCCCCCCCCGGCTGCCGGTGCCAGACCCGCGCCTCCCCCGGAAGCGTTGCCCGCCTCTCCCGCGCTGGGCAACAGCGGCGGAGGGGCCCGGGGCCCGGCTGCCAGCCCGCCCTCGCTCTCTTCTTGCCTGCAGGAGCCCGAGATGGCGGACAGCGCCGCGGCCACCGCCGCCCCCCGCGCCGGCGTCAAGGGCGGCTCGGCGGGGCCCTGGTGGAAGTCGCTGACCAGCAAGAAGAAGCACAAGGAAGCGGCGGCCGCGCCGCCGCCCCCCGCCGCCGCCGGCGACGCCCCCGCCGAACCCCCCAACCCCGGCGGCAGGGAGGAGCAGTCGGTCCCGTTCGGCAGCGGCGAGGCCGCGGCCGCGGGCGGTGGCAACCGGCGGAGCCTCCGCGTCTCGCACTCGGGCCGCTTCAAGGAGAGGCGGAAGGTGCGCACCTCACTGCTGGCCGACAGCCCCGACGTGTTCGACGGCGGCGGTGCCGCGGGCCATGCCGCCCAAGGGGGCGAGTAGCCCAGGAGGGTTTCGCCCCGGAACAGCCACTGGACAGGGGGCCGGAGCCCGCGGCTGCCCCACAGCCCAGGTTGGCCTCGCTTGGCCGCGTTGGCAACGTGGAGCGGCCCCCCCGGGCCTGACCAGGCACTGTGGGGAGCCCAGCACCTCATGTGGACAAGTGAATCGCATGCAGTGTCACGCCAACACCGCCAAGACCAAAGCCCCAGGTGACGGGACGCTGTGATTGTCTTAAAATAACACCAATAAACACCCCACTCCTTGCACTGTGGTGAGCGGACTCCAAGGTGCTATCCCAGGGCCGATGCTGGGGTCCCTCTACCTTCCCCCAGCCCTTGCCAGGAGCCAACATGCTGACGCCTCGGGCCAGTAAGCCAGCTCCTCTCGGGCCGAGGAGGCGCTCTGCTGCTCTGTTCTCACGCGCTGTCTTATCGAAGGAGGGGGAACAAAGTGCTCTTAATGTGCTCTTTCAGGGCTGAGGACCTCTGGTGGGGCCATGTGGGCTCCTGCCCTGCATTCGCTGACACACCGGGAGCCCGTCCTCTTTGCCCTGTAAGGGTCGAAAGAGAGGTATTGTGAGAGGCAGGTGCTTGCATTGCCCTTGTCCCACACCACATTGTATTTAAATATGCAAAAAGCAGGACTGTGCTGGTGTTCTCCCTCTCCTTACTGTGTAATGATAAGCGGATTTTCAGCGGCTGGTCTCCCATAGCTCTGTTACAGAGGGAGGCAGCTTGTTGTCAAGCAATTCGTGCTATTTACCTAGGGAACACATGAGTTTTGCATAATGAAGATGAAGAAATTATGTGATAAAATGTAAATTCTCTTTTGGGAGATGGGGCTAGCACAGGTAGGGTTGTACTAATGTGGAAATAGGCTTGGGCACAACTGGAAATGTTCTTTACTGTTTACCATGTCCAGGGCTTGTGAAGCAAGATTAAAGATTCCCAGGATTTCTTTTGATAGCAAAATAATGTGCTTTAACTCTGGTAACTGTCTGCTTCTTTTGACAGCTCCTGGATTTTTGGACAAAGTAAACTATAAACCAGATTTGTACTGGTGGTGTGCCTTACAGAGCAAACTCTGCTAAAAACACTCAGCAATTACACATTTCTGGATAGTAGGTGATGTAGCAACAATTGATTTATTTATTTTAAATGCATTCCCAATATACTTTGTAGTTTTTAGACCTTTTCTGAATGTGAGATAAGATATTCCATAGTGGCAGAGACTGAAAATCATTTCCTAGGAGTCAGGTATTACAGAGTTATGATTTTGTTTGGCTGTAACTAATGATTCAAGGTCAATTAAAAATAAAAAGTGACCTGAAAGAAACAAGAGCTGAGTTCCAGGTGAAAATACCAAGTAAAACAGTCACTGACAGTCTGGGCAAGTGCCCCGTGGTTCAATGTGTGTGATAATACATAATGGACTTTGAAAGCTCCTGTGTGATAAAACACAACCTAGCTGGCTTAGGTACTTACTGGCCTGTCACTCAGCTGCTCCTCCAGACTCTGAAACCCAAGGACAGAGGGATAGTAGCATCAAATCTGTTTCCATGAAAGCTTTTTATCTACCCAATGTATGGACATATGCTCTTCTTATTTAGTAAAACCACAAGGTTCTGGGTCTGGACTCCCTTTTTGATGTTCCTGACTGCATGCTGACCAAGGAAAGAGCTGGGGGGGTTGTGCGGGGAGCTCATAAATGTTTCTCCTTGGAGATGCTTTTATTACATGGAGCCTCTTCATTCAAGGGGCATCTGAAATCCTTCTGTCAAGAAGCAGCAGCTGGAGCAAATGCAGCCTCAGATGAAGGGGTGCAAGAGAGAAGGAGGGAAGTTTGAAACCTGGGAACGCAGAGATGAAGAAGAGCCTGTACTTCAGCTACGGCTAGCCCGAGGCTAGGGGAAAGGAGGTGGAAAGGGGTGGCTTTGCTGCCACGGTTGTCATACTGCATTTTGGAAGGCAACATTTATTTCAGGTGAACAAATCTGCCTGTGTTTGTGTATTCTAGGGCCCAAAGAAACTTTGCTGTATGTGTGTGTCCAAAATGGAAGAACAAGTAAGCAGATACTGCACTGATGCATTTCTTACTCCTGTGTTTGGTGCAAGCTCTGTGTGGATCAGATCTTCAGAGGCCTGAGTGTGCAGACTAGTGCTTTGCAGATCTCATGCTGATGCTTTTCTGCATTTTTAATCCTACACTACTGTGAAGATACAGTTTCCTCTCTTCTGCACCCCCGAGTACCTCTTTCTACAGTGAACATCCATTTGCTCTTTGTAAACATTTCAGATTTATTAGTGGCAAGTCTTTACCAAGGCACAAGATAACTCCCAATTCGGGTTTTATTTGAGAAGTCTGGTATGCTGTTGAGATGGCTGCTGTTAAGATTTTATATCAATACCGGTTAATATGTGACTAAATATTCACTGTGTCTTAATCCTTTCATGTTGGAAATTTGGTCAGAATACCAAATCAATAAATGCACATAAAATGACTTGCAGCCATCCTCCATCTTTATCCTGACCTTGAGCTGTGGGAAGGAGACGTAATTCTATCTTCCTGCTCAGTCAAATCCTTGCTTCAATGAATTTGATAGCAGCCACTGAAAAACTAGATCCATGAGAAAATGGGCTGACTGCCTCGTCTCACTTTCCCCACCCTCCTAGCAAGGGCCACGCAGCAGTATCTTTAGGTTAGTACTGACCCATGTACCCCAGCGAGGAGTGAGAAGCCCTGTTGGCCATAACCAGCTTGCAGTGCAGAAACAGTCCTCTTTTTTTCTCAGTCTGAGTATCAGATAAAGTTTTAATTAATCTATACACATGTAAATGAATTAAGCTGATACAGAAAAAGGTGGCATTTCATGGAGCACCTGCATTACATGGGTTTTTTTAACCCTTAGAGTGGAGAAAGTTTAACCTTTCTTTTGTGTTGGGGAATACTTGCTCGGTTATAACAATAGTGCACTTCTACGCATTGAATTATTAAAAGCCTCTTGGCATTCTTAATATAGGTATTTTCCTCATCTCCTTTATAAAGATCATGCACCACAAGGTAAGTGTAGGAAACAGGGCAGCTGAGAAAGTAGTTGCTGTTTGTTTTGAAAAGCAAGCAGTGACATATTGACGAAATAAATGGGAATAAGCAGACAAGGTTCAGCCTCAGCTACATCAGCTGTAGTGCAATTTTCTTAATATTATTCTAGATACTACCAAGGATTGCAGGGTTGGGGCAAAAAAAATAGACATTCAGTAAATAGAGTGAACTTTTCAAATACACTTGCAAAGTATATGCCTGCTTATTCCTGCTCTTGCCAAAACTAAATATACATCTCTTAGTTAGCTGCCTGGTGAATCATTCCCTGCTATTGTAGGCTGGTCAGCCTGGACCTCAACAAAGATTATAGGGAGCACCTGCAGAAAACGATCCTAAATTGGAAACGCTGGAATAAATGCCTTGAAAGCGTCAAGATTTTTAACCTCAGATGTTATGTCAGGGTATGACTTAAACTGAACTGAAAGACCGGAGAGGGGTATCCACTGGTTTGGGGTTTTTTTGTTTGTTTGTTTGTTTTTAATTCTGTTTTCACTGTAGTACAACCAATGATAATCTCATATTTGAAATATCAAGTCACCTGTCCCTTAACAAGATAACTTTATACAAGGTCTACAGTCTAAAGGACAGAACTCCCAGCCTTAGCCTGGGCAGTACAGCTGGATGCTGCATGCTAAAGCCAGTGTTTAATTTAGCTCATTCAAACATCTTATATTTAATTGGAAGAAAAGCTGTTTCAAGTGCAGGTACAAACTGGAAGCTCATTTTGTTGCCTTTTGGGATCCTATCTGGTAGGGCAAAAGAAGGAAACACAAACCTGGTATTTTCTAAGATGTCTTTAAAAAGCTGAGGTGAGAGAGGGTTGGTTATAGAATTATATTTGAAACCATATAATTACACCACTTTGAAAATCAAACCTTTCTCCTTCATCACTCTTTTATTGTAAGTTAGATGGGAGACCTGCTGGCTCTGGTTTTTCATTTCAGAATAAACCAAAAGGGATAAAGTTGCTCAATTTTATAAACACCAGAAGTAATGAAGTAGTCTCTTTTTATCTGTTTTATCCTTGATGACACATCTACAATCCACAAATAGCTCTAAGAAACAATATTTGGATGTAGTCTTCAACTAAAGCATATTGATTAGCAGCTGCAGCTTACAAAATTGACTTGGTGCTCATCTCTCTAGATAAAGCAATATAACATCAGGTAATACGTGTTTTGGGGATAGCAAACAGTTTTCCATGATAGCTGTAAGGCATGATTTTAAATGAAAAATTTACTCTGGTGAGTAATCTTCATCAGATCTAAACATCATGTTTTGTGTGAGTAAGAATGAGTTAGAATGTTCTTCAGGGTATTAGTTACCAGACTATCAGATGGTTTGGGATGCGTGAAGTAGGCTCGATTCTCAGGTGCAAGCCTGTGTGTGCTGTGAATATTCTGCCACCTGTTTGCAATGCTTAAGGTCTTTATCCAAAGTTACTATCTATTATGGTAGCTCCTTTTACACTAAGGAAGTAAAAAGCATGCTCCTCTGCATTACTGAAAGTAAGAACCATACCTATGTATTGTCTGTTAGAATGAAAAATGAGAGGTGCTGGGCACTTGAACTTTGGTGGCTTACTCTTCTTTTTTTTTTGTTCCCTGCTGACAAGTTCATTTTGCTATCCAGGTCTTTGTTTTATCCCCAGCCTGTGAATGTGTGAGCAGATAAAGTATCCGCTCATCTCACAAGAATTGCTCAGTGATGGGAGAGTGGCCAAGGAAAAAGGAAAAGTTGTAATCGATCCATTTCTGCATGTGCTTCTGGGCACATTCCTACTCAATTTTGTCAACAGGAGCAGAACTGAGCCTTAGTCTTGATTCTGGAAACACAGCTACCTGGGAACAGAAGGAGCCTCATAGCCTGCACATCCTTAGTTGTGTTATCTTGGCATTCATTTTCAGTGACAGAGGTTTCCAGAGTTGGTTTACCTAACATCATTGGGTTCAGGACTAGGAGCATGGTGTAAACTTAAAAGAGACATCCTACCAACAGTACTTCTAGAAATTATGTAGCTCAGACCTCTGCAAGGAAGACAAAAAACCTATTTTCTGGATCCTGTATTTTTGGGTTCTTTTCTAGGCATACCAATACTAGAGCAGCCTCCTTGCTGGACCCTAAAGCAACTACAGAAGTAGGATCGATGAAATAGGCAGGCTTGCATAATACACATAAACAGCATTTTGCACTGGCATTCACTTGAGGAAGAGACAAATCAATGACTAGACATTACACTGAGCATTTAAAGGTAGTTTAATTCTTCCTGCAAGGCTGGGAAGCTATAATCTGTTCTCACCTGGCTAGCAGTAGATATGAAAAATGCCTCTAGGTAATGTATTAGCTATCGCAGGTATTAATTAACATCTGCTGAATTGGATCTGAAATGGAAAACAGTGAGGAATCACATTAGAACAGCAAACATTGCTGACCATGATTGAAACCACATGAGCATTGGAAAGCTGAAGCCCCATTTTAAATTATCAGTTGAAGCACTTAAAAAATTATCTGTTTCTGTTATAGACAGCTGGTTTTCCTTCATTTGTATGTTTTTACTTTTCTGCTGTAATAGTTTACCAACAATTACCTTTTCAGTGAGGAATCATAATCACTATATACTATATAAACTATATACACTATATACTATATACGCTATATTACCTTTCTAGTTTCATTTATTGGTTTTCTTTTTTTTTTTTGTTTGTGCTGAAAAACAAATTCTGCTGGTCTTGTCCCCTGCAAAACATTTACACAAAATGATACTCCTATGACCCATGCCTAAACCTAGGCTCAAGTTAATAACAATGCCTTGGAGTGGTGGAGAGCTCTGCAGAAGTGAGCTCACCACTGAAGACTCTTCCTTTCATCTTCCTGAAAAGAAGCATGCATCGCCTCTGCTTTAAAGAAAGGAAATTCAAGATACAGGGCTAAAGTAAAGCTTGTAAGTACCTGAACAGAATGACGCATGTAGTCTGAGACCATGCTATGCTGAAAGTGCCTGAGAAAACCAATCTGCGATAGGTGGTAGCAAGAGGTTCAAATGGACTTTCTAAGGTTTCAGATCCCCGAGAGGAACCTTTGGATATGTGGGAGTTTTAACATCATTTAAACTTAGATGTCATTGCACAGTTACCTCCAGGACCGTTAGGGGTTCTGTGCATTGTAAACTATGGCTGGGATTTTAATGAGAACCTCAGAGACAGGCAGAAATGGAACTGTAGTTTTATTTGTGGCATTGACATCGCACTTGTACACATAGGAAAAACAATTTAGTTATAACCTAAGAAGTGTATTTGAACTAGCGTGGTTGTGTGAGTATATATCTCCCCTCATTCTGCTGCAGATTTCCAGTGTGCTCAAAGGGTCACGTTGACAAAAACATTGAGGTGTCTGATTGCACTTTCTTCAATGGTGTCTCAGTGCCTTTGTGGATCTAAGCTTCAGTAAGACCTCTTAGAAGAAGGAGCGTAGTTACACAAAACTCTCAAAATTGTACTGAGGTGAGGCAGTTACAAAGGTACATTTCTGGTTTATTTAC